TCCAAATTTTATTTAGTCAATTTGATTTTTATCTTATTGCAAGTAATAGTGTTATAATGAAACATAAGGGTAAAAAAGCCTCATATTTCAAATTTAAAGAATATATTAAGCTTACATTATAAAATGCGAAATTCAAACCATCCTAATACATTCTACAAGTTGTATCATTACCATCAAATAACGTTGTCTATTCAATTCAACCATACGAATAAAATATCCAATAATCCCATTACTGTAATATCTAGTTACCTTAATATCACTTCCATTTAAATACATTCTATTTATGCGGCTGCCATTGGGTCGGCTGGAATCAATCCAATAGATGAATTCTTCTCTGTAATCAAAGTCTATAGCAATCACATTGTTTAACCCCTAAAAATAATAATAAAAAAGAATTTGTTTGAATAATAGTCAATATAAACTATTTTTCAATCTTTTAGGAATTTATAAAAATCACTCTTTCACTTTGAACCTAAATATTTGTAGTTATTACAAGAACAGCATTTGTGATCAATTCTTTTTAAAAGCATCATATGTTTCCATTTCCCCTACACTACATTTAAGATGTTGCATAATTTATATGAAAATATATTCTAAGTAGGCCACAGCAATTTCAGAATGTTTATAGAAAACGGTTTAAGTAAATAGCCAGTAAGAACAAAAACAAACAAACAAAAAAGAAAACACCCTGCTTTTGGGGATAAAGTGAAAGATTCTCACTTTAGGTTAATATTAAGCATAAATTTGATGCTATTATTATTATGTGTTCTGTAGAGTAACCAGAAAAGAGCACACATCTAAAGTGGAAAAATAGAAGATCCCTGAAGATTAATGATGAGCTGTGGATAGCCATTTGATTAAAGTCAGAAAAGAAGGTTTAAGAATTTTAAAGCTTATGTCTCAATTATATAAATGAGCTTTTCTCCTCCCCGCTCCTCGTCCCTCTCCTCTCCCCCTCCTTCTTTTTCTTTTTCTCTTTTCTTTTTTTTTTCTTTTCATGTTTCAAGTGACCCTTTAGGTAATTCAATGTCATATTAGAATTTAAAACTTATAACCTTAGAGGTGATTATTTGACCAAAGTGGAACCGGATAGTCAACATCTTCTTTTTCCACATGGTGGAAATATGAGGAAAAGCCTCACGTTAGATGCCTGGTTATGCATTTTTAAGCAGGTAACAAAACTGAACAGGAATTCAGCTGATGAATTGCTGGATGCTACAGTTCTTTGAGTTAGCAGTTCTGTCGTTTGATGTTTGAGGACTGTTCATCAGTATCTGGGAGTTGAAATGATTCCTTAGGGGTTAGTTTAATTCTGATTTATTGTTAGGGCTCATAGATTTACTACCCCAATGGGCAAACAAAATTTGGATCAGAATTTCAATTGTGTTAACTCATTTTAA